CAGCATGAGTTCAGTATAGATTAATTTTGGGCGTCCTTTAACGCAACATGAGTTTTAAATTGGCACATAACTTGGAGGGATTAAGCAGGGCATATTTACACCTCCATTATCTTCTATTAATAGAAATCTTATAGCTACTTAATGCTACTTCTCTACTAATATAATTTAAATTATGCGGCAGAGGGATTTTAAAAAAAATTCTCTTGGAAGTGATTAGCTATAAAAGTATCTCATTTTCTTTTTTCCTTCTGCATCGGTCATTTCAATCCCAAATATGAAAGATTTTGGGCTCTAAAATGCATTTATCGGCATTTTATTCTAAAATGCATCTCTCAGCATCTTAGAGAAGGAAGCTTCTCTAAGTTGTGTATTTTACCCCATTCTTCGAAGAGTTGCAATAAGATCTTGGAGCTTCGTTGTTGCTACAAAAAAGCTGCAAAGCTTTAGCTCTCCTGCTTCCTTTCATATCCAAGAAGAGGGGAATGAAAATGAGGCTTCATATCATTTTTGAACTTTGGAAGGGTGGCATTGCTATAAAATATAATTAGAACTGTCTGCATGCTCCAGTTCTCCATATTTGGTTAATGCAGGGAACTCAAACTTTCAACCCCACGAATACGATAAAAAGGAGGTAGTTTTGCGCTCAAAGCAGCCAGTTTAATTTCCATTTTATAGCTGGAAAAGCTACAAGCTCCAGACAAACGTTAGTGAGCCTGTTCCAATGTAGATCTTCTGGCTTTAGGCAGGGCCTGCAGACTATTATAGATCTTTCTGATTAGATAGATACCTGGAAAGAAAATAGTGTGTTCAACCACCTATTTTGTATGACCAGAAAATGTTGTTATTTACTTGTTTATCAAGGCTAGTAGATGTTGAATAGCCTTTTATCTCAAAGCAACATATTTTAATCCCGTCTGGGCTTTTAACAACCCAGATGCAAGTGGGAAATTATAGGCTTCTTGTTAGAAGAACAGGCTTCCGTGCTTTTCTCACTGTTATCTTTCTAAAACTCTTATTTAACCACAGGTGACTAGTGCACACTGCAAACTATTTTACCTGGTCTTCTTTGCAAAGATGGACTTGGGTTTTCTTTTTCTTCTGCCATTAACTTGTGCAAGTCCCACGCGCCTGAACTCCTGCTTGAACAGGGGTTTGGACCAGAAGACCTCCAAGGTCCCTTCCAACTGTTACTGTGTTATTTTCATGCTTCCTTTGCGGTGAAGGACTTTATGCTTTTTTCCCCTATTACGATTTTCAGGCCATAATTATAACTATGGCCTGAAAAATCGTAATGTGGGGGGAAAGCCTAAAGATGATGGTCACAGCGCTTAGTGAACAATGGAAGCAAATTTAAGCCTGCGGAATGAATTGATTTTGGTTGTGCCATTTGTAATTCGTGCTGTTCACTAGTAGAATAGAATAGAATCACAGAGCTGGAAGGGACCTTGGAGGTCTTCCAGTCCAACCCCCTGCCTAGGCAGGAAGCCCTACATCACTTCAGACAAATGGATATCCAACATCTTCTTCAAAACTTCCAGTGTTGGAGTCCAAGGGCCGGCTATGTGCATGTCGGTGATAAATATTTTCCTCTGGAACAAATCACTAATCAGCCAGGTAGGTTGCATCAGGGGAGCAAAGCAGGTTTGGCTGGATTCTGCCTGCTGCCTCTACCCTTCTCTCCCTTTGCAGGGTAAACAAGTGGGGTTGTAATTAATGAACAGCTGCCATGTGAAAATACAGGTAGTCCTCGACTTACAACCACAGTTGAGCCCCAAAAAATCTCCATTGCTAAGTAAAAGATTTGTAAAGTGAGGTTGCGACCTTTCTTGCCATAGTCGTTAAGTGAATCACTGCCGTTATGAAGTTAAGAGCACGGTTGTGAAATGAACTTTCCTTCCCCATTTGAGTTTATGACTAGCAGGTCACAAAAGGCAATCGCATGACCTCAGGACACGGCGACTGTCATAAATATGAGCCAGTTGCCACACAGTTGAATTCTGACCTAATCACTTTTTTTCAGTGCTGTAATTTTGAACGTTCACTAAATGAACTATTGGAAGTCGAGGAATACCAGTGTAGGTTTTGCCTTTTTAAAAAAAAGAAAGACAACGGTGATCCATTTAAGCGTGTCGATGTTTTTCTCTTGGCATGCAGACATGAAATGCTTGATCTCCTTTGAAGCCAGGCTGAGGGCACAGGACTGACCTGTGGAAAAGGTGTCAAGGTTTACCTCTGCCGACTGACACCCAGAGCCGGCTCTGCAACTGCAGTCTTCATGGCAGAGTTTCACTCGCTCAGCCAGCCAGCCGGCTGTGTCCCCGACCAACAGGCCATTCCGTTGCCTCCACCCCTCCTCTTCCTCTTCCCCAATCCCACATTCTGTGGCACTGCTTCGGTTCAGTCCTGGGTGGGCTACTCTGAAAATTATTTTAAAAATATCTGTTGTACTTCTGCAAATTTAATAGTTTCCTAAACAAACTACCCATTCATTCCTCCCTGGCTCTGTACGGTATCATTTGTGTACTTACTCAGCACATCACATTATGCTGGGGAGAATTATAACTTAGAGATTTCCCCTCCCATCTGATAAATATAAGGTCGTCTGTTGTTTTCCATAGGCCATTGTTTTTGTCTGCTGTTTAAATGGTTATTAAATCAAGAGTGGTGTCCATGATTAACTCCTGTGTCGTCCCTCTCTTCGTCAAGGAAGCTGTGCCCTCCGCTAAGTTCAGAATATTTCTGAACTTTACAAGTGGGGGGGGGGGCTAAGAACGGATTTCTGTAGGATTTGCCTGGCAAAACAGATGTGCGATATTTTTACTCACATGAACTGGCACTAATTCAGGGCACGTGCTGTTAAAATATTTGGAACAGACAAAGCTTAAGAGATTATTATAGGTTTGAAAGCCCCAATAAGCGAGGCTCACTTTCCAGTTTATGGGCTTCTCTATCTATATCTTACCTATTTATCTCGCCTTTCGGTTCTCTTTTAAGTATCAAATGTTAGCTTGGGCTGTACTAGTTCAAAGGGAAAAGAACAGGGAGAGAGAGAGAGAGAGAAGTAGGTAAGTTAATTCAGGGTACCACTTCTTGTACAGTGTTACATAAAGGTTACATAACAGCCACTAAAGGAAACAACGCTCCGAAAGGAGGAATAAAGTGATGTAGGATTCCAGCTGAACCACTCAAGAGCATCTCTTGGCCTCGCTTTTCTCTCTCTCTCTGTCCCTTTGATGTCGCCAGGTCGCCCAGCCCAGGAACTATTTATTTGTAGAGATAGCGGCGTGACCATCTCTGTGACAATCCTGGCTCTGGGAGGCCTGTTTTCTATATCTCCAACATTAAAGCACTTCCTTTCTGAAAATTGTGAAGAGCGAATCTTCCTCCTCTCCGCTTATTAGCAGTTCAGATGCTTTGGGTCTTTTTAAGGGAAAAAGCTCCTCTGGTAGAGTCAAAGCAACAGATGAGTGGTCAGCAATCTGGCACATTAGACATATTTGCAGGGATCTTGGAATGATGACAGCTGATAAGGATTTGCGCAAGCACATAAATTATGCCGTAGACAGTTGTGAGAACAGTTGTCATTTGGTCACATTATAAATTAAAACTGTAGGTCCCCGATTCAACATACACTCCTTTCAGTCATCGTTTGCTTAACTCCCCCCTAAAGTTTGGTCTTTGGACTTCAGCATTTTAAGACAACTTATTCAACATTTCCTGCCTGGAAAGCTTATTCTGCATTAACACCCTTGACTTAATTCTAATGCTTAAGATTAAGGAATGCAAATTGTCCCGTTGATTTTTTTTAAATGCGGTTATCTTGGATTGGTTTCTGTAGCTGTTTTGCTGTTAGATCCCTGGCAGTCCTGTGAAATACATTTCAGGTGACCTGCTTATAGCTTGGGAGCTGAATTGGGGGAAAAAATGATACAGGAATCCCTTCTGTCACAGAGCAGCCATGCTGCAATGCAGAAGGAAACGTTTCAGTGAGTTTATGCTTGGTTATGTGTGATAAGAATTTTCATTGCTCCTCCGGTATCTAATGCTACTGATAACACGACCATAAACTGCTAACCTGACTGACAGAATAAGCTAATTATAGGGCAAGTATGGGTCAGGTTGCGACCTATATTTCCAGAGAAATCAGCTGGAAATTTCAACCTGATTCTGATAATGACTCAAAGCAAAAAGCTTGTTAAACGTAATCTTTGAGCTCTTCAGAACTGTCTGTACAAGTACTTTAAACTGTATTTTTTTTTCTTTGCTTGTTTTATGATATAAGGCACAGATGATGAGAGAGAAGATGTAAAATCTTGTAATCAAACTCTTGGAGAAGATAATCACAGAATCTCATTTGTCCCCTCTCTGCAAGCATGAAATAGGCATAAATTATGCAAATGAGGCAATTGGTCAGCAGGATTTCTTGATCCTTTGTTCTCCTGATTATGCAAATCTAAAGCTGCTACAATTCCCGTCAATATTTTTGAGAATTTTTACATACATTTAGAGAATGTGGTTGACATCTTGAGAGAGGGTGTGCGATGACACATTGTGCACAGCTTCGGCTTTGACTATAGCTACGCTTGGACCAAGCACTTTTAAAGTATGCCCACCTCCTGGAATGAACTTCACTAATTTTAATAATGCATTAGAAGCCGTGTGTTAATAGCCACAATTATTCCGAGTGGCTATTTTGAATTTAATAAAAGTATGCATTCTTTTTAGAAGGTGCAACTGGAATAAACTGCAAGGTACACCGCATGTGTGGTGCCGATTGCCAAAAATACACACCAACAGCACAAAATAGAAGCTGGTAATGAAAAAAATAGCTATGCCTATCTCAAATGTTCCATCAGTGTGAAATAAATTGACACACGTAATTGAAGAAAGATTTGGGTGGGTGTGTCAAAATCCTCCCTCCTAATCAAAGTAATTGACTGGGCTTCTATGTATGTATGTATGATGTGCTACAAATCACCCTATATATTTTTTCTACCTAGTGAGAGGATCCAAACCTGGTAAAAATGTCCAGCTTCAAGAGAATGAAATCAGAGGTTTGTGCTTGAAATCTCGCGAGATCTTCCTCAGTCAACCAATTCTGTTAGAACTCGAAGCACCGCTTAAAATATGTGGTAAGCGCCTTGTGTTTTTTTTTTTTTAATAATCTAATCATGATGCACAGAATTTGTTAGGTAATAACTTCAGGTGATGTATCTGAGGCTGTTGGGTCTGTTAGAGAATTGTAGTTAGTAACCTCTTTCAGCCACGTTGCCTGAGGGTGAAACTGTCTTTGAACAGAGTTTCTGAAAGGAACTATTGGATGTAACCACAAGGAAACAAATTTCAGGAAGATAAATCAGTTTTTGATACACTATTGAGGTCTGGTAGCTATTCTGTATATTTAAATGGTATATAATCCCTCTTACTTTGCCCATCCTTGTCATGTCCATCTGAGAGGGGGGAAGTAGTTATTTCCTCTTTTTCAGAAATATTAGAGTAGACATCTTAGATATAAAACTATGAGTGAAATTCACACTTTGATCTAATTTATCTTTAAAACCACAACCGTAAATAATGTTCTAAGGTTTGGCACCAGGGGGAAACTTGTTGAAAACCTGACTGAGGTTACTTTCCATAATGCTCTTACGTAACGCTCCTTTTAATCTGCATATTTCAAATATATTGCTGTGATGGACTCTGCTTTAGTTAGCCAAACTGCACTGAAAACCGCTTTCCTCCGCTTAAGGTGATATCCACGGACAATACTACGACCTCCTGCGGCTATTTGAATACGGTGGTTTTCCACCGGAGAGCAACTATCTGTTTCTTGGGGACTACGTTGACCGAGGGAAGCAGTCCTTAGAGACAATTTGCCTCTTGCTGGCCTACAAGATAAAATATCCAGAGAACTTTTTCCTCCTTAGAGGCAACCATGAATGTGCTAGCATTAATAGAATTTATGGCTTCTATGATGAATGTAAGTATGCGTGGGGGGGATGTGCTGTGACTATGAAATCTATCCTTAGAGGGAATTGGGCGTTAGGAGGGTTGCAGAGTTAAGAGGCTCCTGGAGTAAGGGGACCTGTCACGTCCTTGAGCTTTTGTATCACCTTGAAGGCCTCCCATGGCAAAGGCGGAACATAAATCATGTGCCTTTCCGGCATGAACTCCAACTTATTCTGAGTTTTTGTATCATCTTCCCTTTTGGTTAAAAGTTGTAGAGGGAGCCCTTGACTTCACAGATGGGGATCAGAGTTTCCCCTGCTGAGCAAGGCTTAAGTTAAGTGAACTGTGCCCGATTTTCTTTTGCCACAGTTGTTAAGCAAATCACTGCAGGACCTGAGTGAATCACCCCATTGTGGAGCAAATCCACCTTCCCCATTAACTGTGCTTGCCAGAAGCTGTCGCAAAGGGTGGTAATGTGACCCAGCGGGACACTGCAACCGTTGTCAATATACACTGGTCGCCAAGCATTCTGTGGCAGTGGGGATGCTGCGGTGGTCATAAGTGCAAGGTCTGGTCATAAGTCCGTTTTTTCAGTTCCATTTTAACTTTGAACTAAACAAATGGTTGCAAGTCTATAGCAGTGTTTTTCAACCTTGGCCGTTTGAAGATGTGTGGACTACAACTGCCAGAATTCCCCAGCCAGCATCGCTGGCTGGGGAATTCTGGGAGTTGAAGTCCACACATCTTCAAACGGCCAAGGTTGAAAAACACTGGTCTATAGAGATCTAGCCAGTCTTGACTGAAGACAAGCCAGATCAGGCCTAGGAGTAACTGCGAGGGATTCCCCTTAAAACTAGTCTTCTCTGTCACCCTTGATTTCGAAACGGCTTCTCCATTGGCTGCTCCGCTTCTCCAGGTAAAAGAAGATACAACATCAAGCTGTGGAAAACCTTCACGGATTGCTTCAACTGCTTACCCATAGCAGCCATTGTGGACGAGAAAATATTTTGCTGCCACGGAGGTACGTGATTTTGGATGCTACCCTAGGCCCCGTAACTGATCAGAGTTCAATTTCAAGGCATGTTTAGAGACAAACTCAACATTTCATTCCTTAAACATAGCTAACTTGTATGACAAGGTTGTTTTTTGGGGGGGGGGGAAACCAATTTATATTGGGAAGCCATCTTAAAATTATTTAACAGACCCTCAATGATACATGAGATAAGTGCAGGTTACACAGAGAGTTCCTGCTGCCTCTGTGGTATATAAATACTTGTGCTCAAGTAGTCTTGCCTCTTGTGGGCCCTTCAAATGCTTGGCCTTGCCATTCCTGCCTTATAATCTAAACATCTGCAGGATGTTTTGAGGCAGAAACCTCAAGCTTGCAGTGTTGGAGGATGTGAGTAGGAGGCTACAGCCGAACAGATGGGTGTGAGAGAGAGAAACACATTTGGCTCAGCAAGGGCAGGGCGCCCTTTCATTTGAGACGACTGCGCTAAAGCAACGGGAGGTTTATTTGTTGAAACAGTTGATTTGGCCAAAGTGGTGATTCTCAGTTTGCTCTGGAAGGCGCTGGAAGTGTAGATACGTGTGACGTTACGCTGGGATCTTCCTAGCATTGGATCCAGGTTTAGTTTCATTTCAACTGCATCCATTGAAATCGGTGCTACTCGTGACTTCAGTTTCCAAATGATGACTCTCCTAAATCTATTTGAAGTCTGAGTAAATCTGGATACGTTATCCAAGAAATGGGAGCCCCTTAAGGGATTGTTTTTAATTTCTCATCTTCTATCCTACCATGGTCCTGTATTGGGTCCCTTGATTGAGCATCACCTCTTAGATGAAGTTGGCCAGCTGCTCTTCCTCAGAACTGGAGGCGAAGCTGCCAGGGCAACCGTCTCATTCCCCATGTACTTCCGGCTAGTTTGCGTTGTGTTTGCGTTGTGCACCTCCCGAGCGAGCCAAATTCAAACCAGCTGCCGCTTAATCCTGCTCAGGCTTATCACCAGATCTCCAGTCCATGGAACAAATCCGGCGAATTATGCGGCCCACAGACGTGCCGGACCAAGGCCTCCTTTGTGACTTGCTGTGGTCTGATCCCGACAAGGATGTGCTTGGATGGGGCGAAAACGACCGAGGGGTCTCCTTCACATTTGGAGCCGAAGTGGTGGCAAAGTTCCTTCATAAACACGACTTGGACCTCATATGCAGAGCTCATCAGGTAGGCGAAGACCAGAAGGGTCTAGAAAACGTTCCCCTCTGCCCAGGGGTGGGAGCCCAGCCGCTTTGCACATGTGCTCCTTCTGGATTGCTGCTTTGGAAGGAAAGCAGCCGAGGCACGCTAATCCAGTGGTTCCCAAACTTGGCAACTTTAAGACTTGTGGACTTCAACTCCCAGAATTCTCCAGCCAGCTCTGCTGGCTGGAGAATTCTAGGAGTTGAAGTCCACAAGTCTTAAAGTTGCCAAGTTTGGGAACCACTGCGCTAATCATCCTGCCCCACGACTCAGCTGAGAAGCTAAAGGTCGGTAAAGCGCAGGGGCATATGGGTGGGCCCAGTTGATCATAGGAGCGAACTGGTTCGCTCCCTGCTGATTGTCAGAACTTCCTGTTTGGGGGCGAGCTGGTGGAATCCCACCCCTGCCCCTAGCATCCAAGTAGCTGCTTGGTTTTAGGAATTCTTGGCCTTCTCTCCCCTGGCTGGAGAGAGAGAGGACTTCTCCCGATTTGATTTAGAAATAGGCTCCCAGGTAGGAAAGCACAGCCACAGCAAATGGTGTAAACCGAAAATCCGCTGGCTTTTTCTAACCCTGCCTAAAACATCCCACGTGTGTGTAGAGCACAGTCGCCAGGGCCATTTTTGGCACTTGTTGGCAGCTCGTGTTATCCCTGCGTTGGGATATAACGGCTGCGGTGCCTGGCGCTGTGGCCGCTTCAGTCAGAGCCTGCGTCTCCAACAGCGCTTGCATTTCCACAGCAAACGGAACCTTTGACAGACTTTCAACAAAGGAGCATCCCGCATTTCCCCTGAAACGACTTTCTGCTTTCCTGCCTTTTCCCCCATCCTGCCGGCACCAACGCCGCTGTTTTTTCCCCTTTACAGGTAGTTGAAGATGGATACGAATTCTTTGCAAAAAGGCAGCTGGTAACTCTGTTTTCTGCCCCCAATTACTGTGGGGAGTTTGACAATGCAGGTGCTATGATGAGTGTGGATGAGACTCTAATGTGCTCCTTTCAGGTAAAGTATCTTCGAAGGCCCCGGGGGCTTCCCTTCCCTTACATTTCTGTGGTTTGTTCAGTGACGGTTTCCTTCCCGTCAGCCCTCCAAGCATTAGCCAGTTGCTCCATGCTGAGTCATACTAGATCCAGGGCATTTAATAGATTGAGCTGCACCTGCCTCCTCCCGAGAATCCTTTCTCTCCCCACTGCTGTCTGAAGGCACCTGTGGAGAGGAGGAAGTGGGGTCATTGCAAGATGTGGGGGGAACATCACAACGGCATCCGAGGTCAGGTTCGGTGGGCTGGTCTCGAAAGCCCAAACTGCTCCTGGCCTGGGATATCCTCCAGCACCGGCTCTCGCCTGTCCTCTCAACCGAGCCATGGCTCAGGAATTCTGGGAGTTGAAGTCCACGGGTCGTAAAGGGGCTTATGGGATTGGGAGGAAAGGCATTGATCTCTTCAGACAGAGACAGAGAGGAAGATGTGATCCTAACCCTCCGCTCTGGGTCTTGGGCGGAGTCATTCAGCCCGATCTTTCCAGGTGTAACTCTACCTGTGTGGTTTCCTTGTAGTAGCTTCCCCTGCAGATCCTGAATCACTAAACCAGCCAATTGTCATTCCAGATCTTGAAGCCTGCGGAGAAGAAGAAGCCCAACGCCAGCCGGCCCGTAACGCCACCCAGGGGTATGATCACAAAACAAGCCAAGAAATAGGGCCCCCCCTTGGGCCCTCCCGGTTGGGACTTGTACCATAGTATATAATCTTCATTTTTTTAAAAAAAACAAACGAAAAGCAAACAAAACGAACCGGTAAATGTGTATCCATCCGCTTGCTAAGACTAGACTTAAATGTGTTGTGGTTCTCCTTTCCGATTCATTGTGACGGATGGCATTTGCTGGATGTAGCAGCAAATGGGACTTTTCTCCCTTCTCAAGAAGAGGTTTAAAAAAAACAAAAACCAACCCCAAAACTTCGGTCTTTGGAAAGAGAGGAAAAAAAAACACAACACCCCCCTTTTTTTTTGGGGTTCTCGATGTTCCGGCTGTACACTTCACAGCGCCTCTCCTGCCATTCTGGGTAATTGTGCAACCGGCTCCGACCAGGCGATGTGCAACGCCTGTCTTTGTTTTAGGAGCCAAGGAGGCACCAGCGTGCCGCGAGACTTAGGAAACTTTGTATGACTGTCAAATTGCGTATACCGTCGATGATGACGATTCACTTGTAAATCGCTTTTTGTTTCTAAAGCGTTTGCATTTTCCTTGTCCTGTACCCGAGTCCCCGTTGTCGGCTTTTTTCAACCCACCCTCAGAACTTTTCGCCAGCTTCACTAGTATGATGCCTGTTTTAATTGCAGCGCCCTAACCCCCCCCCCCTCCTGTATACTTTGAAATCACGATTTCTAAAAGCCATGATTTAAATATTTGTGTCTCTGTAAAATTTAAGTTGTGCAGGGATTTAAGGCCAGTCAGCAAGGCCCCTAGAGATGCACCGGTGTCTTAAGCTGGATTTTTTCCTCTGCAGGAAGGACGACTTGAACTAGCAGAGTAAAGCTTGTGAGCAGCTGAAGTACAGGATTAAAGACTTTTGATACTCCCCTTATATTCAGTGTCGAAGCGTGCTGCTGTGCTCGTTTAGCCAGTTCAGAAAGTTGTAACATGTGAAGAGACTTGCCTGAGAATTAGAATTAACTTTAGGTTTTGTTTTATTTGCATCTTGAAGACTTGCTACCTACAAAGCTTAGAAAACAACCAACTGCAGCAGTGAACCCGCGTTCACCTGTTTCTATGACTCACAGTTTCTTGTGGTTTTTTTTCGTTTTGTTTCTAAAGAAAAACCTGTACTCTTTTTAAACAGATGACAGTGTACAATACAAATGTGGTAAAATGCCTATTAAATGAGTAACTTGTTAAATTTTCGTGGCGTTGGGGTTTTTTTCCAGCATCGCATTTATGAAAAAATCACTTGAAACACAATAATAATATTAATAATAAATATATTAATATATTATTATATAGCCAAAATCGAAAAATCCTCTGATGATGCCAAATGCAGACTTTGCAAAGAAGCTGATGAAACTGTTGATCACATACTCAGCTGCTGTAAAAAAAATATCGCGCAGACTGATTATAAATTGCGGCACAATTCAGTAGCACAAATGACCCATTGGAATTTGTGCAAAAGTTATAATATTAAAACAGCAACAAACTGGTGGGAACATCAGCCTGAAGAAGTCACCGAAAATCAGATGGTCAAGATCTTGTGGGATTTCCGTATACAAATGGAAAAAATACACCAGACATCACACTGGTTGAGAAAAACAAGGTCACAATCATAGACATCGCAATACCAGGTGATAGCAGGGTTGATGAGAAGGAACATGAAAAAATCACAAGATACCAGGACTTAAAAATCGAAATTCAACGACTATGGCACAAACCAGCAGTGGTAATTCCAGTGGTAATTGGCAAACTGGGTGCTATTCCAAAAGCACTGGAATTGCATTTAAAACAGGCTAAAAATTGACAAAATCACCATCAGTCAAATGCAAAAAGCCGCACTGCTTGGATCCGCACGCATATTACGAAAATACGTTACGACGTCCTAGGCCCCTGGGTGGGGCCCGACTAGTAACCAATGCCAAATCCGGCGAAACAACTGGCCGCTGTGATACAATTGTATAATAATAATCATCATTGTACATCTTAAGAAGGTACTTGATTGATATCTAGGACCCATTGATACCCATTGTCATAGGGGCACTGGGCACATTATCCAAGAATTTTGCAAACGCTTCCTGCAATAACACCAATGGAACTGCAAAAAAACTGCGCTGCTCGGAACATCGTATATTTTAAGAAGGTCCTTGGCTGATACCTAGGGCGCCGGCAGCAAACCGTATCAACTATTGGCACCAGTCACTGGTATTTGTGGCACATTTTTAAACGTTCAGTTGGCTGAGTTTCATGTTGAATGAATAAAAGTTTATAATACATCCTATCTAATGGTGAAAACTTAGTAAAGAGAGCCTCAAGAAGGGCTGGGGCATTTTTCTCGTAGGATGAGTAAATGTGGGGCTCTGAGATTTTGGGTGTTTGATGGAAGGCATGCCCCCCCCCCCACCTTCTCTGATCCAGAGGTGATCATCCCCGTGGAGAAAGCTGTCCACTTTTGGGAGCACATAGACTCCACTGGCAGGTGGAAGTGTTGGGTGGGCAGAAGACTCCTCTGGTGTCCCATGGGGGGAGGCCTCCTCCTTATCCTCAAAAACGTGATCTTCGCCGGAGGGAACCCTCGCAGAAGTGGACGGCTACCCATCCTGGACCAAGCCAGCAGAGACCATGCCCTTCCCACCCCTTTAATTGGGTGGGGGCAGAAGCAGCAAGGGTGGCCTTGCAGAAGGCGCCACCAGGAGGGGCTAAGGTCCCACGCATTTACTAACGCTTTACTCAAGAGACTTCTTGGCTCCCAAAAGAAAGCGGGAAGGAGGGGGGGGAGGTTTTCTCTGCAGTCACAGATCAAGGCATCGCAGCTCGGGGTCCTTAACTGAAGCAGCACACCCGGCTTACAATGGGGGGGTGGGTGGCTGGGTGGGGGCGTTTGAAGACAACGGGTGGGAAAAACCCCGGGAGGGTCCGGCCACCCACTCCACCTCCTCCCCAGACCCCTCCCGCTCTGGAGGGGCCAGCCTAAAGGCGCCAGGCCAAGGGTGGACCCGCAGCCGGGTTGCCTGGCCGGCCAACCTCGTTTGCAAATCCGGCCAAATTCAAAAGGCGACCTTTTGGCCGAGATGTTCCCCCGCCTGGCTGCGCACTCGGCCGGGCTGAAAGCGGGCAGGCAGCGGAGCCTGGAAATCGGCGGCTTCCCCGCGCATCGCCCCCGGTGGAAAGCCGGCGGAGCCCCTTCCCCGATCCCCCGCCGGCTGCGCGGAAGAAGCCCAGCCGCCGCGGGGAGAGGCGCCCTCCGGCCAGCCGGCCTGCCCGCCTCCTCCTCCTCCTCCTCCTCCATCCAGAGGCGCCAAGGGGGCGGGGAAGGTGGAAGGGGAGGCGGCGGCCCCTCCAACCCGCCCAGGCTGGCCAAGCGGCTCGTGGCCCCGCACGGTACGGCAAGGGGGGCGGCGGGAGGGAGGGAAGGAGAGAGGGAGCCCCCAAGGCCGCCCACCCTCCAGGGCAGGGGGAGTCCAGGCGGGGACCCTCGCCCATTGCGTGGCCGACGCCAGCAGCCCCTTCGCCCTTCTTGCAGCCCCGGGACGACGCTGGCAGCCGGGCCTCCCCAGGTTTGTTTTTTTTTGGGGGGGGGGTCTGTTTCCCAGCCCTGGAGACGTGGAGCGACGGGTGGGGTGGGGTCTCCGCCATCACTTAGCTCGGGCGCCCGGAACCTCCTCGAGAGGCGCTTCTAAGCTCGTCTGGAAGGGCCGATGCGGGCTTGGAGGTGGGGACGAGGGGAAGGAGGGAGCCGCTCGCAGGATTGGCGTGTGGATGGAGCTTGGCCACCCCAAGAGGCTAACCAGGGTCCACCTCAGGGGTCGCCAAAGTTGGCAGCCTTCCCATTTGGGTTTCAACGCCCAGAATCCCCCAGCCAGCCCTCGGCTCTGCCTCCTTACAACAGTGTTTCTCAACCTTGGGGACTTTAAGTCCTGTGGACTTCAACTCCCAGAATCCCCCAGCCAGCATAGCTGGCTGGGGGATTCTGGGAGTTGAAGTCCACAGGACTTAAAGTCCCCAAGGTTGAGAAACACAGAGCAGTGGGCTTAGAAGGGGTCAATCCAGCCAGGGTGGGTTTTACACATGGGGGTAATCCTAGCCCAGCCCAGCTGGCTGGGGAATTCTGGGAGTTGAAGTCCACCAGTTGCCCAATTTGGAGACCCCTATACTCTAATGGGACACGGTGGCTCAGTGGCTAAGCTTGTTGATCAGAAAGGTTCGGTGGTTCGGATCCCTAGTGCTGCATAACGGAGTGAGCTCCTGTGACTCGTCCCAGCTTCTGCCAACCGAGCAGTTCGAAAGCAGGTAAAAAATGCAAGTAGGAAAATAGGAGCCACCTTTGGTGGGAAGGGAACAGCCTTCCATGCATCTTTGGCGTTGAGTCATGCCAGCCACATGACCACAGATAGCATTGGCTCTTTGGCTTTGAAACGGAGATGAGCACCGCCCCCTAGAGTCAGGAATGACTAGCACATATGTGCAAGGGGAACATTTACCTTTATACTCTAATGGACCCAGTATTACCCCTGTGACTTCACTGCAGACACCGTTGTTCTGAAGAAATGTAAATTTGTGGCTAAACGTCACGAAATAAAAATAACCCTCCCCAGAGAGGAAAAAAGCCCCCCACAAAATTTGTTTTTCAAATGAGAAAAAGAGGAACTTTTTTTTCCAGTATTAATAAAGAGTTTAAAAAGCTTGGCTTTTTAACTGTGGAAGGAAGGGCCTTTCACTTGAAAAATAAAAAGAAATTTGAAATGCAGAAACTAGAGAAGGAAGCTGGGCGAATATTTAAAGATGTCGATATAAATGAACCTCCAACAGGATGTTAGCAGAAGTATGAAACAAGAGTTGACAGGACTTTAAGGCCTGGAAAGTGTTGCCAAAAAGTGGAATCTTTTGTCATGTGTGGCTTTTGATAACGTGAGTTATGTTGAGACAAAACACACAAAAAAGGGGGAAGAATTTGGACTTTGAAGAAGGGCTGAAAGCATTAAAAACAGAGACATTTTAATTGAGGATGTGGGGACGGACAGACAGTTTTCTGGGCAAGCAAGAGCCCCCCCCCTTCCAAATTACAGAAATATAAGGAAGGTTATTGGGGAGGAGGGGGGGGTCTTCTAGATCCTAGAAAAGTTGTGAAAGTTCTTAAAAGGAGGAGCGGGCGGATTGCAAGAAAAGTAAATCAATCCCTTGAGTTGCTTCCAGGGGAAGACAGAGAATATTTAACTAAGGCAGATTTTTCTGCAAGCTTCGGTGAATTTCCTAGGCGAAAGTCCAAAATTGGGGGGGGGATTCTGGAAGGTGGAGGTGCCAGGTTGGGAAGGCAGCACAGCATAAGTGAGGTCGTACGATTAGCCGTTTGCTTGGGTTTGACAGAGAGTTGTGGCCTATTCAACAAATTGTGGTTAAACCCGGAGGAAGCCTCCCCCTTTTTAGCGTCGTAGGAGTAGAGCAGATCTGCCTCTCTTCCCAGGTGGATGAAAGATGGCTTATGGGAAAGCTAGGATTTCTCCACTGGTTTGGTTGGCCAGAAGACTCAAGATTGTGATTGTGATTTATTATAATTGTATGCTGCCCTTTTCCCCCGAAGGGGACTCAGGGCGGCTCACAATTCAAATCAGGGAAGGGGGGTACAGACAAAAGATAAAAGACGAAACATAACAATTCATAATTTAAAAGCACACAACAGCCATACCATTCGAGGAGGGGGGCAACAGCTCTTTAGCCCCAGGCCTGTCGGAACAGCCAGGTTTTAAGGGCTTTGTGGAAGGCCTGGAGGGTGGTGAGGGTTCGTTCCAGAGGGTCAGAGCAGCCACAGAGAAGGCCCTCCTCTGGGTGGTAGCCAATCGGCATTGGCCAGTGGATGGAATTCGGAGGAGACCTAATCTGTGGGATCTAATCGGTCTATTGGAGGTAATTGGCTTCCACCCACATTGGCACGACATTAGGATATAAATTGAATGCAGATCCCACACCTTACTAGTGCAAATATTACCTAGTTTGAGTCCTAAAACATCTGCAAGAAAACCACCAAGCTCACAACAGTACACAGGACCTCTCATCTCAAGCCTGCGTCACAAATGTTCTCCTCTAGATGTACAAATGGGTCATCAAACCAGAGGTGGTACCAGACCTCTGGAAATCTCAGGTGCCCATTTGTCCTATGGCATCCCATTTAGGACCTTTTCTTTTACTAAAAGCGCATGCGTGGAAGGCTGTGTGCATGCTCGGAGCTGCACGCATGCTCACACTTGGGAACCGGTAGGGAAGGTAAATCGGTTCCACCACAAATCCGCGAAGCCCTTATCTGCGGAGACATAAGCGTGAAGACTAATAC